AATGTTGAGGCTATCTTTTACCTCGATCTCGTCGAGTGGGATAACAAGAGTCTCGTCAGATAGAAACTTTTTAAAGTTTAAGGCGTGGAAGGTAGGGTGTATTTTATTGAATTCTCGAGGTAGTCGGGTCTATAAGCTACTTCCATGACGTGGTCACCAACCTGGAATTCCAAGGGTTTTCTCCTTTTGAAGTCGTAGCTTTTCTATCTGACTCTGGAAGCTTTACGTCGCTCCCAGATTCGTACTCTTTTCTCGGTAGTTTCTCGGATGATTTCCGGACCAGCAAAGGTGTTGTCTGGAATTTGACCTCTAGCTAGTTGCGTGTCGCCTACTTTAGTCCAGCGCAGAAGGGATCTGAACTTGTGACCATAGAGGGCTTCAAATGGAGCAACTTTAATGCTAGTATGGTAAGGAACTCGACTAGTTGGAACATGGGTATCCCATGCTTTACCAAAGTCGATCACATATGCTCTCAGCATGACTTCTAATGTTTGAATCGTTCTCTCATTCTGTCTGTCGGTTTGTATACGGGAGGCTATTCCATGTCTAGCCTAGTCCTCAGGGATTTCTGAAGTAACTGCCTAAATCGTGAGGTGATTCTACTATCTCGATCGGAGATCACAAGTATTGGAATACCGTGTAGTCTAACTAATCTTTCGGACACACTTTCTAGTTAGCTTCTCTATCGTGTCTGTTTCTTTAAATTTGCAGGAAGTACGCAGACTTGGTTAATATGTCGATGATTTCCCCAAAATGGTATCAGGTCCACCCGTTGTCTTGGGTAACTTGATTACGAAGCCCATTGCGATCCGCTCTCACTCCCACTTAGGTATTTCATGTTGTTCGTAGTAAGCCTGCCGACTTTTGATATTCTACTATTAACTTTGGCGTAGGTAAGACACTTTCCTACAAAGGTAGCAATATATGTTTTTCATGCCAAACCACTAATATAACTTTTTGAGATCTAGATACCTCTTGTCTGAATTGGCCTCATGCCTGTGGTACTGTTGACCATCGTCGACCTGACACTCTGTCACTTACAGGTTTCATGACTCTATTTTGTAAGAACACTCAAGTATAACAAAACAAAGATTTATTGATAAAAGAGCTCCCGAAATGGGAGTACCCCTATAATATTTTACATCTCTCCCTTCTAAGGGAGATTTTTACTCACAAGACATTGAACTGAAAATTTACAAGATAGAGAGTGTTTTTGTTGCACTCGTTATTGCGATGATCTTTTTCCCAAAACATAACTCTCAATTTATAGATATATTGAGAGGGTCTGATCCTTGCCTATTATGTCAGGCATGACGTTTTTATCCACTAAAGATTACATTATTGTGGACAGCTGGAAAGCTTTTAATAATGGAGAAAAGGCATTATTATTTTGAGTGGTGGGGCCATTTGACACGTGAAGCATCTTTCTTTAAGATGATGAGGATTTGTCATCTTCAGAGGGGGGGTCCCTCCTTTGTCTCCGAATCTTTGCAATCGCAAAAGTGACAAAGATGTTCTTCGAAAAGTTGTTCTGCATGTCGGCAGAAGTGTTGGCGTGTAGCATTGGATACTTCCATGCTATTGTTCATGAATTTTTCTCCAAACTTGGAGGCTTGACGAAGATCTTCTTGGCTGGTGTTGTTGTAACTCCAGCTTGTAATTATACAATGTGAATCGGTATAATTAATCTTCTTTTTTGAACCAGAGATAATTTCAATGATTTTTTCTGATATTCTTCTTAAACCATTGATGCGGTTAGGATGAAGAATTTCTGTGAAAGGTAGATCTTTATCTTCCATTGGTTGAGATTGTTCAATCTCTCTATTGGCTTTAGAAAGACCAATTTCCAGAAAGTAGTATGGAGAAAGAGTTGATTCTTGAATCCATTCTGGGAGTGAAGAGATGCATCTGATGTAGATCGGATTATCTTTTGCTTTAAGTACTTTCTTTCGAAAGTTCTTAATGGATTCTACCATGCTGCTTGGGAAGAATTTGAGTTCTTGAAGGTTGCAGCTTGGGTAGATATTGTCGATTAGTCCAGCTTGAAAGGCTTGGTAGACTAATTTTGCATCTGCTCCTTCGAGAAAGTTGAACAGACTTTTTGTTTTCTTGTCCGTAGTGAAAAACTTTTCATGAACAAGGTCTTCTGGGCATGCAGCCCTTGCTTTCTTCCAGATTGTTCTGAAATCTTCAAAAGAGATTTCAGGATAGTTAACCATTGTTGAACGTCAATTGGAACGTCAAACCTTTGGTCTCTGTGGGCTTCTTTGACTTTTTGAATTTTTGGTCGAAGAAGTGGTTGGTTAGTCTTGCTTGTATCGTCTTGATAAGTGGCAAGGCTTAATCTTGCAGATGTTTCATTTCTGAATTTTTTGCAAGTAACTTTATCAACTTTACAGAAGGTTTCTGTAATTCCCCAGTCAGTATGAACACCGGCATGGGGTCCTTTATAGATTACATAAAATCTTTCAGCTTCTTTGTTAAGAGCTTTTTTGTAATCTGGTGTGAACTCCTGCACAGATTTGTTAGTGGGTGACAAAGTTGTCATTTTACTGATTCCTTCAGTACAAGGATTGGGATCAACCAATAAGCTAGTTTTTCCATTAGGAAGAGGAGTAGCTGTCTCCTTTATTATGCTTTTTAGCAAAGCATCAGCTTTCAACGGATTTGTTGATTCTTTACCAGGTGCCGTTTGCACTGGAATAGCCTTTGTTTTTGAGCTTTCGCTTTCCGGTACATTGGTGACCGTTGTTACTTGTTCATACAAGTTGATTTTCTGCTCAATTGCAGATAGCTCTATGAGGAGCATTTGTTTCTTCATCCTCAAAATGTTGAGGTCTTCCATTTTTGTAAACTCAATTTTTGTTTACTTTTCTCTCTAATCTCCTCCTCACTTTTTTGTAGGTGAAGTTTTTTGTGAGGAAATATGTCATGAGGATCATATCCTTTTATAGGGCTCGAGAGGAGCGAGTGAGATCATGGATGATGTAAGGCATACCTGAAGTCACGAGTGAGGCAGTCTGCCAGTACGTTTTTGTTTCCTGCGAGATGTTCAACAGCGAAAGTATATCGTGAGAACCACTCTTGCCATCGTATTAGCCGGCCTAATTTGTTATCTCCTGCAATCTTCGTTCGGAGGAAATAAGTAAAATTTTATTATCTGTACGAACCAGGAAATTTACTGGTGTTAAATATACAGAGAATTTTGTAATAACTCTTTTTACAGCGAGTAATTCTTTTTCATTGCTATGGTAGTTTTTCTCAGCTGCTTTGAAACTGCCAGAGGTGTACCTGCAAATTTGTTCTTCGTTTTTGGGGTTTTTAGCTTTTAAAACACCTCCCCAAAATTCATCAGAAGCATCAGTTTCAATAATTAAACTGTCTTCAATGTTTGGAAGATAAAGTTTTGGAAAATTGATTAAAACTTTCTTTATCTTTTTGATGTAGTCTGTATCAGCATTTGACCAATTCCAGATGACATCTTTTTTTAATTTTACCTGTAAAGGTTTTCTCATGGCTGCAAGTTTTTCAATATATGTTTCAGCATAAGTTAAAACACCAAGAAATCTTTGCAGTTGTTTTTTGTCTTCTAAAACATTTGGAAAGTCATGTAAATGTTCAAGAATATGCTTTTGAGGACAATGAGTACCTTCATTTATTTCTAAACCCAAAAAATTGATTTTTGTTTTGAAAAGATGAGCTTTCTTTTTTGAAAGTATTATTCCATATTTTAAAATAGTTCTGAGAACCTGTGTGACATGAACATAGTGTTCTTGTTCATTTTTGCTGAAGATCATGATGTCATCAACGTATACAGTGCAGAAACCTTCAAGGCCTCGAAGAGCGTTCTGCATGTGTCTTTGAAAAATACTAGGAGCTTGTTTAAGCCCAAAGGGTAGTACTTTCCATTGAAAGAGTCCATCAGGACATGTGAAGGCAGTGAGAAGCTGCGATTCTTCATCAAGTAGAACTTGCCAGAAACCTGACTTGCAGTCGAAGCTTGAATAAATGTTTTTTCCTCGTAGAAGAGTCAAGAGTTCGTGCATATTGGGAAGATTATGTGAGTCTCCAATAGTTGCATCATTGATTGCTTTGTAATTGACAACCATGCGCTTCTTTCCTCTTCTTTTCTCTGCTTCTTTATTGACAAGAAAGGCAGGAGACATATGAGGGGATTTTGATTCTATAATTAGTCTCATATCAAGTAATTCCTTGATTTGTTTGGAAAATTCTTCTCTATCTTGTAAAGAGTAAACCATAGGTTTTTCTCTAATAACCGTCTTGGGATTAATAAGCTTAATTGAAGCTTTCATCCATCCTTTGGTTTTATTTGGATCAATAGGATTTTCAGAACAAACTTTTTCAAGAAGATCTTCAATCTGTTTGAACCTGGTAGTTTGAATAGAAATAATCTTTTCTTTATTAATCCCTTCATGGGTTATATTAGTACCTGGAATTTGTTTTTCTTTAGAACCTTTTTCTTGAGTTTCAAGAAAACCTGGTTTTCCTTTGCTATAGGCTTCTGTAACCTTTTTTATAATTACCATATCATTATTAAGATGAAAGGCGATTCTATCTATCCATTGTATGAATGGTCCATAAACTTGACAGAAGTTGTTTCCAATTATGATATCAATTCCTGAATTTTGTTGGTAAATAGTGGGAACGTTGAAATGTTCTCCTGAAAGTTCGAGATTAATGTTTCTACAAACTTTATTAATTTTTATGGTTTCACCATTTGCAATAGTGGCACTAATTTCTTTGGGAGCGTTTTCCCAGAGTTCATCCGGAATGATGAATTTGCTTGCAAGACATAAAGATGCACCTGTGTCTACAAAACAATGTACTCTAAATTTTTATATCCTTTAAAGTTAAGGAAAGTAGAAACATAGATAGAGTTTGGATTAGTAAGATTCATGATAAGGGAATCATCAATCTTCTGGAGGTTTACGCAAAAATGGTTAATCTCCTCCTCTCTGAAAAGTGGGGTTTGTATGGGACTAGTCTGAGTCATCCGTTGTTGATTCGTATTCATCAGTGTCTGATGAAGATTCTGTCTCAACATGATATATAAAAACATGTTGTGTACCATCATACTCTTCTTCAAGAGCTTCATAGCCCCCATTGTTAGCGGTTTGTAAAACCTTGACTTTGTCTGGGTATTTTTTTCTATTTGGACATTCATTGGTGTAGTGTCCTTCTTCATTGCAGATCCAACACCTACATTTTTTCTTTCCTTGCGGACAGGAAGTAGTCTTCTTAGGTGTTTCTTTTGAAGGTTTTTTGAAGTATTTTCCTGGTGAAAATTTTCTTCTTTTCTTTTTCCAAAAAGATTTGAATTTCTTTTTGTTTTTATACTTTTTCTTATTATAATTTTTCTTTCCAATATCAAAGTTTTTGAAATCAGAGAGAATGCTACAACAATCTTTGCTTATTGTTTTAAGTTTTTGTTGTTTATATCTGTCTTGACAGATTCTATCAATTTCTTCTTTTGCAATTTTTGTTGCATAAGAAAGACTGGTTTGCTGGATTTCTCCAGTAACTTCTTTTTTCCATCTGTCTGTACAGGTTTCTCCAATAATTGGAATTTTCATGAGGTAAGCAGATATCCATTGCGCATATTCACTTCTTTGTGGAATATCATACAGATATGATTCATACATACATGTGTATTTGTCGAGAAGACTAATATCATGTAATTGGAGTTTTGTCATTGAAACTCTTGCTATGTCAACTTTCTTATTAATGGTGAAGTCTTTATTAGAAATATAATCAAGACCTAAGAAAGTAGTGTATATGACATTTATGATATTATAAAAAAGATCTGAACCATGCATTTCTTCATTCCAATTATTGTTTCTTAGGAATTTTTTGCACAATTCCATCAGTTTTGTGTTCTAAAAGTAGTAGAACATTTTTTGTTTTTTCAAATTCATCTGGGTTTGTCTGTAAGATTAGTGAAATCTCAGTAACCCATTTTTCTACAACTCTTTCTCTGAGTTTTAGATCTTGGATACAATCAATATTGAGTACATTGATCGTATTGGATCCTTGACCACTATTTGGAATACCATTGTGGACAGGCATTTTGAACTCATATTTCTTTTTATTGCTTCTTCTAGCGGCTGTATAAGAAGATTCTGCTTCATCATCTTCCATATCTGAATATTCGAACTTTACAGTTTTTGTATTAGTCTTAAAGTTATCTTCTTGTTCTGATTCAGTATCAGGTTCATCTATTTTAGTCATTCTAAAATATTGATCAAAAAGTTTGGGTTCTTTTTGATACAATTCTTCGCATTCTTCAGTTTCTAAAGATAAAAGCTGAATAAGTTTTTGGTCAGCCTTATCATAATCTTCATATTGAAGGTTAAAGAAATATTTCTCAAGTTTCTCAGAGATTGTTTCTTTCATTTTTGCTCTTTTTTGAAAATATCGATTTTCTGGGAGTCTTTGAGCTTCCTAAGTCAGGGTTTCCAATACTTGGATTGGGAGGTGAGTATTTCTTAAGACCTGAATATTTTCCAGTTTTGGTTTTTTGTTCTATGATGGGAATATTCTTGATGTGTTCAAGAATGTCTTTATTACAAGGGCAAGAGTCAATCTTTTCAGATAACTCTTTAGTAATGTCTGCAATAATTTTTGCAGATGCTACTTCTAACTGTGTAGTGGTTACGTATTTAATGGCCGTTAAGTCAAAGTTTATAATCAGCCCATCTATTTTTCATTAAGGAGGTTGATTGATCTATTTAGCTCGGGTATCGAGGTCATCCTATCAGTTGTTTTAACTGCTCTTGTATATTAGTGATCTTAAGGTTGTTTTCTTTAAGAGTGCTTCAATATTTGCCTTTTTGGCGACTTCTTCAACAAATGGTTGTTTTTTAAAGAGTTTTCTAAAAGAATAGAATGTTTGTCAATAGACTGGGTTAGCTTGATAGTTTTTTTTTGTCTTTCAATAACTTCGAAGAATTTTTCAAAATTATTTTTATCAAGATTATTTTTAACCAAAATGGCTAAATCGTTTTAAATTGGTTAAAAGGTATTTTATTTTTAGAAATATCTTTAGAAATATCTTTTGAAATACCAAGGTAATGGCATATTTTCGAAGTTTTTAAGAGACATCTTGCAATGATCTGGTTGAGATTATTGCAATGATTTACAATTGTTTGAATACCAGCTTTTCCAGAAGTAGAGAAAACGTATTCTTTCTTTTCAGTATTGTCGTCAAGGGTTTTGATTTTCTGTTTTTACCTTTTTTATAAAAATGAGGAAAATCAATTTTATTACTCATTTATTACCTCAGAGATTTGTTTGATATTCTGACGTAGACTATCAATTTTTAAGACATGTTTCTTATTAAGTTACTATCTTTTCTTTCTGAGCTTTCTCCTATATGGAGTGAATCCATAAAATTCTTGGTCTAAGAGTTTCTCCTAGAGCTTTTTTGTTTCTAGCTATATTTAAAACCCAAGAGTTTTCTTGAGGATTTATGTCGCAGAATTGTTATCTTTGACATGGCCTATTTCTGAAAAGACATCATCAAGTTCGATGTACTCGTCTTTCTTGTAGTCTATGCTATGGTGACTATTGGTCAGGGCATATCCTATGAGATAGGTTAGGTGAATGGTTTATCACCTGGGTTCATAAGGTCACTTCTTTCAAAGTGATGTATAAAGATAAGTTTTATCTATATTTGCAGATTTCAAATCTAGAGCAAATTTTGGATAGACTGAAAACATAAATTTTTGGTATGCAAGGTTTCCCCCTAGCAGCACCTAAGATGCAGTCCTGTCTGTCAGTAATTCTGTTGTCAATTAAGGCCATTTTTATGGGAGATTTATTCCTGCTTGGAATTGAGATTTTAATCAAAATTTTTACAGCTCCGATATGGACCATTCTTACTTTTGATCTAATCTCAACTGGAATACTTTTTAAGTTATTGTTTATTTGTTCTTTAGTCAAAAGGGTAGAAAGACAGCTCCTATTGTGTCTTTTATGTCTACAGACATTTCTTTAGTACTAACAAAGTAGAAATTTCATTTTTCCTTTTAAGCGGATTAAAATACTAAGTTTAGAAGGAACATTTTTGAAAATGTTTTCTTTCTTTATTTTTAAATCTGTTTTCTTGACCCGAGAGAGAAGATCTTGTTTTTAGAGGTTTGCATGAAAGCCGTCTTCATCCTCAACATAAGTTAGGATTTGTTTTTCTTCTGATCATTTTCTTCAGAATTGTTGAAAATTTCTTTATTCATGTTTA